CTTTCCTTTCAGAAAAAAACAGGACTGCTGGGGATATCTACCAAAGATGGCCTAACAAGTTACAATATGACTAGACACAAACCCTTATATCAAGGCTGGACAAGGCAAACCAGTAGAAGGAAAAGTATCCCAAAGGCAGGCAGAAACACATTTTTAATGCTACTTTTAAAAGAAATATAGAAGCCAAGAGGTGGGAGCCCATGCCTTTAATCCTGGCATTCAGGAGGCAGAGGTGGGCAGATCTCTGTGAGTTCGAGTCCAGCATGGTCTACAGAGTGAGTTCCAGGACAGGCTCCACAGCTACAGAAAAACCCTGTCTCAAAAAAAAAAAAAAAAAAAGAAAGAAAGAAAAAGAATATATTCAATATGGCTTAGGCTCAGAACTAAGAAATCCACTTTGTAAACCCCAATAGAAGTTTTACTTTTATTTTCAGTTTTTGTTTACATTTATCCATATTCAAAATCAGATTAATAAAGATCACTAAGTATGTAAGAACATTAACATTTTAAATTTTAAAAGTCAATAGTCCAAGAAAATGTTATCCAAGTATACAGAAATCCCATAGAGGATTGCAGTCTGATGGTGTTATCTGTTTAAATCTACTTGAGCATAAATAGTTTATCGAAAAATCTAATTCTATTAGAATTTGTACACGTATAGATGAACCCTCAGTGTACTAAACAAATTTCTACCACAATGACATTTGATAATTTAATAAAATATATTAACTTTAGTAAAGTAAAATTTAAAGTTTTAACTTTCTAAAAGTACATTTGAAACAGGAAAACACATTGTTAATCTCATACTGATTTCATACAAACTTAAAATAATTTACTTGGATGCAGAAAGTGTTACTGAGATATTTTCAATAAACTGGACACCAGACTGATAAGTTAAATCAGCATAGTACCAACCCAGACCCCCCTGAACATGAATGTCAGTTAGGAGGCCTGGGCAGTCTATGGGGACTCTGGTAGTGGAAGAGTATCTATCCCTAGTGTATGGATGGACTTTGGGAGCCCATTACACATAGAGCAATGCTATCTCAGCCTAGACACATGGAGGAGGGCCTAGACCCTGCTCCAAATGATGTGACAGACTTTGAAGTTCCTGCATAGAAGGCCTTACCCTCCCTGGGGAGCAGAAAGGAGATGAGATAGGGAGTTTGTGGAGGGAGGAAGAGGAGGAGGGGAGGGGAAGGGAACTGGGATTGACATGTAAAACAAGACTGTTACTTAAATTTTAAAAAATGGAAGGAAAAAAAATAAAAATAAGTATCAGAATTTTTTCTGAGCCAGAAAACATAAGGAAAATACATAGAAAAATGAATTTATACTAGATATTTTCCTCTGTCTTTTCTTGCATATTCATATACTAGTATTTTTCTTTGACATATTTTAATGTTTTTACTTTAAATTGTTTTAATATGTAAATTTTAGCACCTCACTTGTAATTATGCTTTTAAAGGGGCAATGGAGGAATGGTAGTTTTGTAAAGGTATGAAAATACCAATAAAAGATCTGAATGAAATGCAATATGAAAATTTTGAATTATGTCACATACCAAACTATTAAACACAAAATTTATTTTTCCTAAACATAAATCTAATCCTAAGCACTGTTGTATAATACAACACAGTAATAAAAATATTCTGTACACTGTCCAGTACAGTAGTGTATTGCTTTTCTGTGATAAAATACCTAGCAAGAAACAACTTATGGGAGGAGATATTTATTTTGAATATGGTATAAGAAGGGATATACTCTATCACAGCAGAGTAAGCATGGTGACAGTAATGAAAGTGGCTGGTTATGTTGTATTTACAGACAAGAAGCAGTGAACAGACAGAAGTATATCTGGGCTATCCACCATTAAGTTGTGACCCTAGTAAGTCACTACTTCCAACAAATTTCTACATCCTAAATGTTCTAAAATCTTCTAAAACTATACTTCTAGTTGGGTATAGTTCAAATACATTAATCTGTGGAGACATCTCACATTCAGAACACAACCTTCTGCCTCTAATCCCTATGATCCAATATCATTTTATAATGCAAAACACAGTTGTTCCAACTTTAGAAGTCTCTATAGTCTTTAACAGTCACAATACTGTTTAAAATCTCAAAGATTGTTCTGAGACTTAAGGTAGTCTCTTCACTGTGATCACTTATAAAGTTATAAAAAATAAGTTTCATCTTAAAAAGGAACAAATTAAATATCCCCATTCCCAAAAGTAAGAACAGAGACATAGCAAAAAAAAGATTGGGCAAAAGAAATACAAAGACCTATTTGGGGCCAGGTGGTGGAGGCACACACATTTAATCCCAGCACTCAGGAGGCAGAGGTAGGCGGATCTCTGTGAGTAAGCAGCTTTCTACAGCTGTCCCATGATCCTGGTGTCGTCAGCATCCTGGGGCCTCTGTTGGAATTTAGGCTTCACATTTACCATTTAACGAGTGTCCTCTTTGCAGGGACCCTGGCATCATGGCTTTCCATATCATTGGATAAAACCTTAATGACCCACTCTCTCATATTTTTCATGTTTGCAAAATAGGTAGCATAGACGATGCTGCAAAATTCTACTGTCAGCTCAAGATGTAATCTAGCCTCTTGTTGTAGGTGATATTGTCTGAACCTGAAAAAAATACTTCCCTAAAAGCTATTATTTTTGAGCAATATAGCCCTCAATTCTTCTTCTATTCTCAAATCTATCTTCTTTAAATAAATTTGCATTTTATAAGTTGGCAGCTTCAATAGTTGAGGTATTACCCTATTTACTATTTTATTACTATTCTTTGACTCTGTCTCTGCCCCCCACCCACCATCCCTCATGTCTACATGTGAAATAGGGTTTCACTCTGCAACTCTGACTGATCTGGAACTCACAATGTAGACCAGGCTGGCCTAGAACTCACAGAGGTCCATCTACATGTCTTTGGTTCTTGAGTGCTGCTGGGCTAAAACTTACACCATCACACTGACTAGTTTTAACTTTATTGTGCCAATCAGTGTAACAATTAAATTCCTTTCCCTCTTGCCTTGTCAGAAGCTTTGTACTTTTTCATATACCTTTACTCACTAAACTGCACATATACATTTCTCAGCTTTCTGTCTTGCTCATTGCCTTTTCTCACAGTAGGCTTGGAAAAACAGTAGTCATGCCATAGCCTGAATTCTATCTTGAAATTTCCTTTCCCAAATGCATTAATCTTTTACCTTTCAGGCACAGGCAGAATGGAGCCAGATATTTGGCTAAAATGTAACATGAATGTCCTCTCTCACAGTTGTTCATAAGAGTTCTTATTCCTTCTGAAACCTCATGAGTGGGGCCTCTGCTATCCATGTTTCTCCTGGTATTCTGAACTCCCACCAGAATGCCTCATGAAGTTCTTTTTATAGCACTATAGTGCTTATATAGCATGCAACTGGAAGCCCTTCCACATTCCCGAAGGCCTACAGACCACATGGTCAAGTTTAGCATAGCAGCATCCTTATTCCTCAATATCAAGTTTCTGTATTAGTTGTTTTTCTCATTGCTGAGACCAAATAAATGACAAGAAGCAACTGAAAGAAGGAATTGCTTTATTTTTGGAACAGTTTAAAGGTTCATCATAGTTGAAAGGCATGGCTGTAGGAACATGTGTATCTGGTCATGTTACATTCATAGTCAGGAGTCAGAACAAGCAAGGAATGTCTGTTCCACAAATCAAAGACCTTCCCCAGAAACTCACTTCATCAAGCCAAAATTTACACATAGTCACAAGTGTCAAATACTATAAATTAGGAAAAAAACAAGAATTCCAATTTGTCTAATTGTACAATTTGGAAATTTTTAATTAAATATGGATAGTAGGATATGTGACTATAAAATATGAATAAAATCTCTATCCCCTTTACTACAGATTTAAGAGACAACCCTGTAAAGAATGTATTCTATATTTGTAAGGGTTTAATACAACCAGTTAAGGAATTATTTTAGCCAGAAATTTTAAAATTATACTGTCACCAAGAAACAGAAATAAGTATTATATAGTAGTAACACATCAATAATGGAACTTTTAAAAGACAATAATCTCATAATATCATAATTTTCACTGTTACAGTCCAATTCATAGATAATTATTTTGTCTTTATTTTGCTTAAAATTATATATCTTTAATATTAATCCATATGATTGCAAATGTTTGGGGCTAAAAAAGGAAACTAAATAAGAAATTTTGAGATAGTCATAATTAACATACCTGAAAGGTAATAGTGTTTCTGGTAAGAGCATTTAATAGTCTTTACAATTCAAACTTGTCACTTTTAACTTTCTCTGTTAGTGCTCACATACCAATTCCTGAATTTCGATGAATTCAATTAGAAAAAGTTAAACTGGTATTTTAATTAGTAGAAGGAGTGATGCTTTTCTGTTGTTAATGTGGGCATCCAGACACATGCCTTTTACCTGGTTAAAAAAATGCTCAGATAGCATCTAATGAAATCATTACATACTTTTAGGCTAATAATATATACCAGGACTTTAATAGTATGACTAATGTGTATTGGGAATAAGAATTCATGACTTAGTTTTACATTCATTTTCATACACCATCATGCAATTCATCTTGAAAATTTGATCATAAATAATAATATTGCTTGTCAGCAATTTATTTCCTTATTGATGATATAGCTTAGGAAATTTGAAACTTTCATTGATATAGCTTTCTTTTATGACATAATGAATGATGCTGCTTCTGTAATTATTGTGTTTGCCTCAAATCATGATCTTCATTTGTTTTAATTCTACATGTGACTGTATTAAAAACTTCTTCCTAATGGAAGCTATTATTTATAGACACCACTGACATTTGATGTAAAAGCTTTATCCTTTTAAATGCTAATGTTCCAATGAGAATAATAGCAGTTCTTAACTCTTGTAAATAGTCTACTTAGCAATTATTGGCTGTTCTATTAACTGACTCCTTCTTCCCCCCCCCCCTTTATTTTTCCTTTTCAGTTGGGTATGTCAAATGTTACAGTTAGCATTTGGTTCTTCCTTTGGAGATGCAGCTGCTAATGCAGGTAATGATTTCAAAGTGTCAAATATTTATGTTATTAAAATGCATAAATGAATCAGCTGATAATGGCACACATCTTTAATCCAAGCACTTGGGAGGCAAAGGCAGATGGATCTCTGTGAGTTTGAGACAAGCATGATCTACACAGTGAGTTCCAGAACAGGCAAGGTTACAAAGAGAAACTGTCTTGAATCCACATACACTCCACCAAGAAAAGCAGAAATAAGGTTTAAATATAAATTTATTCTTATCACAGCTTTCCATACATGTTATCACCTGAAGATTACCAGAACTTTTACTATTGCTATTCAAACACTTATTAAAGAGTTGTTGAATAGTAACAAAATATTTTTATTTCTAAAACTTGGCTGAAACTAACATATAAAAACAAATTAAATATTATATTAACTTTTAGAGAGAAAATGACCTTGTTGTAGCTAGAAATGAGTATTTTATGGTAAAACTTCCTTTTATATGCTTATTAGTTTCTTTCTTGAATGGCACACAATTGAAAGAACAAATAAATGATCTGTTCACTAATGATTTCATAATCATGGATATAGTAGATAATCATGTTTATGTCCTCATTAATACTGAATGTAATTGTTTTATTTCTAGATTAAAATTTTGAGAATAGGAAACAGTACCTAGAGATACTCAGTTCCCTTTAAAATGAATAAATATGATTTGATCACTACCAGTTGTAGAGGAATAAATTACAATTTCCTCAATACCAAGCACACAAAAATCATTTTGAAAAATATTGTCATGTGGATTTTTCCAACAAATTTTTTAAAAATGCCTCAAGTAATCTGATCTGTAAGTAAAGGAAATAGAGTAAAAATGGGAAAAGCTTAAGCTTATGGGGGAAATATATATATATATATATATATATATATATATATATATATATATATATATATTTCTTTGAATATTCCTCCATAAGCAATTGAAATGATTTACTAAATTGTAATATTTCTTGATAATCAATTACATTAAAATTTCATTGAAGAATTCAAGCAAAAAATATGAGTAAATAAAAATAAGATTACTTAAAGCACCATTCCATATAGCTAATATTTTAGAGACTCTTCTTCCAACACACAGAAGCACACATATACTCAATAATGAAGAGTGGGAAAGCACAAGATTCTGCATGCTATGCTCACTACTTGCTACTGTTAGCATAGTTGAGTTCAATTAAATTGTCTTAAAATAGCTCCAGCAAGCAGTATCAGCAAAATCCTGGATGCAACAAAAGCAATAGCTATATAACCAAAATATCAAGACTAATTAAAGACAGTAGTCAATGTATACACTAAATAGGCTATGTAATAGAAGGGAAGAAAATAGCAAAGTTTATTTTTAAATATATTATAATAGCTCTATTCAAACTCTAGCATATAGGTAGTGATATCACAAAATTTGCCAATTACTAAGTTAATTTGGTGTTACTAGAGTTTTCATATTCAAAGCCATATGTTTTCTTACAGAATACAGACGTGTGAGTTCTGTGATTTATGAGAGATGTGTTATAGCCTTGAGGAGAAACTTCCCTGTGATTTGGTGTAACTACTGCCAAGAAGCAACTACTGTAAGTAATATCTCTATTTCAATATGGATCAATAGCAGTTAAATTCAGACAATTCTGACTTTGTATTATTTAAAGGTATAATAAGCAGTATACAAAAGTATATTCGTGTCATAATACAAACATTCTATATAAAAATCTTTAGTGGGAAATATTAATGCTTCTCTAATAATAGAAGAATCCATAAAGAAAAAGAACAAAAATATGAGGATAGGGGTTGGGGATTTAGCTCAGTGATAGAGTGCTTGCCTAGCAAGTGCAAGTCCCTGGTTGTAGTCCTCAGCTCTGAAAAAATAAATAAAAATAAAATAAAAATGAGGATAATTCCCCCTTTCACTTTGCTGTCCTAGTTAAAGTAATTAACACTGGTTTGATAGGTAGACATTGAACATACTTTTCTTTATTTCCTTGACTATCGAAAGGTTGGTGTCAAGCTAAGTTGAGCATAATAAATATACTTTCAGGTAATAAAATTATTGGACTATTATTTTAATTAGTTTACAAAAGAATCTCAGTAGTTTTCGTTTTATTTTCATGATGACTATTTTACGTTTATGTCTCTCTCTCTCTCTCTGTGTGTGTGTGTGTGTGTGTGTGTGTGTGTGTGTGTGTGTGTGTGTGTGTACACCTCAGTGCTTGTGTGAACATTAGAGAACATTTCTACCCGGTGAATCCCAGAAGTGGAATTAAGACAGCAGGCTTGAGGGAATGCACCTTTATTCATTGAGCCATCTCTGGTGTCCTTCCTTCACATTTTTAGATACTATATAATACATATTTTTAAAAAAATCTGTAGTAAACTAGATATAGTAGCTCATACCTATAATCCCAACATTTGGGAGGTAGAGGCAGGAGGATTGCCACAAATAGAGCCTCCACTACATGGTGAGTTTCAGGTTAGCCAAGATACATTGTAAGAGCATGAAACAAGGAAGGAGGAAGGTAGAGAGATAAATAGAGGGGAGGGAAGGAACAAGTAAGAAGAAAGAAAATGGAAAGAAGAAAAGGAAAACAGAAGGAAAGAGGTAAAGAAATTGTGGTGTATTGAACAAGTATGCCCCCATAGACTCATGTGTTTGAATGCATGAGTCTACAGTGTGGTATGGATTTGTTAGAGTAGGTGTAACCTTGCTTTGATGCAGGCTTTGGGGTCTCATATATGCATAAGCCACAACCAGTGTGACAGTCTACACTTTTGTTGCCTGAAGATCAAGATGTAGAACTCTCAGCTCCTTCTCTAGCACCATGTCTGCTTGCACACGGCCATGTCCCACCATGATGATTACGAACTAAACCTCTTGATATTGTAAGCCAGGCCCAATTAAATGTTTTCCTTTTAAGAGTTGCCATGGCCATGTTGTCTCTTCACAACAATATGAACTCTAAGACAAAACTAAAATTGGAACATTTCTAACACCCATAATTGTACTTCCCTGAGGATCAGTCTGACCATAATACTGTGTAAAAGTGGTAAGAGTTCTGCAGGTGCTAAACCTAGCATAGCTGAGTCTACCAGGAAAGGAAAGTGACTGCAACCCATGGACACTACTCCAGAGGAGGAGTAGAGGACCCTAAAATTGAGAAATCTTCTATGTTCTTTCTATCAAGCTATGTTCTTTCCTCCAGCAGAGCAGGCAGTACATGAAATTTGGGGAAGGTCACTGCAAAATATGGAACATGACACAGCACAAAGAAATGAAAGACACACCCCAAGCTATGCAGACTTTGAGGTAGCAGCAGAAGTATAGGAAAGGAATCTGAAGTTAAGCATTTTAAACACCCCCACTTAAGTTGTAGCCTTTCATGAATCTAACCTATATAGTCTCTTTATTCTTACTCTACTTCTTCCTAGTCCCTTCTTTATTCCTCCCTCTTTTCACAAGTTAGTGAACAAAACCACTATAAACTACAATTTCCCAAACTAATGCTCTGTTCCCTTATTTCTAAAATTCAAAGGAGACATAGGTTAAGAGAACAGTCTTCTGCAACTAATATTGTGACTGATGTCACATCAGTGTATTTGTTACTCTGGTTAGCTTTCTCCCTCAACAGCCCACATAAAAGAAAAAGACTAAAACAGTGGGCAAATGAGGGAAACTACAGACTAGAGGGACTATATAGAGTAACAGGTATGCAAATACAAGAAAGAAACGAAAAAGAAGCATAGTCTTCAGGCATCTGTACTGCCCTGCCCTTGGCGTACTGACAGGATATGTCCTCAGGGGCAGCCACGAAGTGCACCACCTGTGCACATTCACTACCTTCCCTACAAAAAGGCCCTTTCGACATCCAATCCCCCTTCTCTCTGTTGTTCAGTCTCTCCCTCCCTCCCTCCTTCCCTCCCTCTCTCTCTCTCTCTCTCTCTCTGTCTCTCCTTCTCTCACTCCCTCTTGCCCCCTCTCCCCCTCTCTGTCCCTTTTCTTATGCCTGTCTCTCTGTCCTGCCCCCTCTTTTGCCTCTTTTATCTCCTCTCCTACTGCTCCTGTCCCCAGAGGCTGGTCTCCTCCCTCCCCCTCCCCCTTTCCCCATTCTCTTTCCCATAATAAAATCTCCTCCACAAGAGCTCTGTCACATGGCATCTTTCTGTCTCACAGTGCTTTTTAAATTACAAACTGACAGCATTCCACTAGAATACCCACACAAGCCAATAGCTTCTCAACATGACAAAACAAGGATAATGAGATAACTGAATTCTACAAACAATATTTGAATCATATTTTAAAAAACAGATAAATAATTTTTGGTTACTTTTCCTGTGGCTGTGATAAAAAAAAAAATACCCAGGCTAAAGAAATAGGGATAAAAGGTTTATTCTTGCTTAGAGTTTGAGGTTAAAACATACCATTATAGGGAAATAAAAGAAGCCAGAGTGGGAGGCATCTGGACACATTGCATCCACAATCAAGAAGAGAATAACTATTTATGCCCATCTCACTCTCTCCTTTTCATACTGTCCAGGATCCTTGCCCATGAAATTGTGCCACTCACAATGGATAGATATTCCCACTTCAGTTAAGCTAATGAAGATCATCTCACCCACATGTGGGTTCAGAGATCCACTTCCCAGATTATAGATTTCATCAGGTTGACAATTTATATTAGCTATCACAGTTCTATCTCTGGTCAACCTGGCATCCAACCATACCACTTCAGATTATAACTGTCCTTCCTTGTACTGTACAGATTGCTCACTGGTTAAAGGCACTTGTGAAGCTTGCAGAGGAGCCCGTTCAGGGGATTTAATACTCCCTTCTGGCCTCCACAGGCATTCAAATGTATGCACGCATACACATAAAATAAAATAAATCTACAAGAAGTTTTACATCATAACCTTCTAACCCTTATCCTCATGTTCTTCTCATATTCACCCCATGTTCACCTCATAATACAAAATACAATCCACTTTCATTTAAAAGTCCAAAATTGGCATCTTATCTCATCGGAGACACAAAGCAATATTGTACTTATAAGCTTTTATGATATAAAAATGTCACATTTCTTCAATATACAATAACACAAAGTAAACAACAAGAAAATTCAGGATGACAAACATAAAATCCCACAGCTCCACTCCAAGCATCTGGTGCCTGTGATGAAATTGGCTGGGCTACAATGATTTTAAGTAACCCCACCCATTCAGATCTGCTACCTGCAAAAATGCCTCTCATTTAGGCTGGCTCCACTACATCCCCTAACTTTTCTCAGCAGACATCCATCCATTGGTCTCTAATCTGCAATATTCAGGAATCTGCAGTGCAGTTTAGGAATCGCCTTCATGGCATCACATGCTGTCTTATCAGAGAGTGCCTGGAGGAATTTCAACACTACCACACATTTACTAGCTTCATTTGTGCTCTGAAACTGTGGAGCAAGACTCCATGATCCCTTTAATCTTTTATATCCCAATTCCTGCAAAATAAAACATGTGTTGTTGCCAAGTTCTGTGGCAATGCTACATGCCTAGGGTCAGAGCTTCTATGTGCTGAACCTGAAGAAACTATTCCTTATGCAGTTGCCTTTGAGGAGCAAAGAACCTCTTCAGTTTGGGCTTTCTCCCTTTAAATGCATTTAGATCTTCATAAGATGGAACATCTGATGATTTGGATTTTGTCTTCAGGAATTTTCCTGTCATCTCAGTCTATCATAGATAGTTTCTATTTGATGCCTATCTGTTTTTAAGGTAATAGTTTTTTATGTGAGGGACCTTGTATGAATCTCTTAGATTCCTCCTTGTAACCTAGTTTCTCTGACGATGTGAATTATAGGCTGGTGATATTTTGCTCTATGTCTAAAATTCATATATGAGTGAGTACATACCATGTGCCTCTTTTTGTGACTGGGTTACATCATTCAGGATTGTTTCTTCAAGTTCCATCCATTTCCCTGGGAATTAAGCAGGAGAGAGGGCCTAGTCCCTAATCCAAATGACTTGAAAGATTTTGTTGACTCCTCCTGGGAGGCACCACCCTCCCTGTGGAGTAGGGGGAAACAAATAGGATAGGAGGGTGGTTGGGGACATGGGGAGGGAGGGAGAAAGAGAGGGAGAGAGAGAGGAAGAGGGCACTGGGAACAATATGTAAAATAAGAAAAAAAAGATCAGGCTGTAGTTAAAACTTTAGGATATTTTTTAAATTAATGATTGATGTGGGAGGGCCAAGCCCATTGTGGGTGTTGCTATCCCTAGGCTGGTGATCCTGGGTTCTATAAGATAGCAGGCTTAGAAGGTCATAGAAAGCAAGCTGCCAGTAAACAGTGTTCTTCCATGGCTTCTGCATCAGCTTCTTCCTCCAAGTTCCTGCCCTGCTTGAGTTCCTCCCTCTTTGCTTTTGATGATTAACTGTTGTAAGGAACTGGGAGTGAAATAAACCCTTTTCTCTTAAAAATATTTTTTTATTTTAAATTTGAAACAAGCTTTTTAACATATCAACCACTCTTCCCTCTTCCTCCCCTTCCCCCTTTCAGCCCTAACCCCCATTCCATTTTATTTCTGCTCCCCAAAGAGG